GGTCTAAACCTTGAGTTCATTTCTCTTGACAGAGGTTGAACTTTGTGACAGTTTTTGTTTCATGTGGAGAGTTTCGGGAATCACAAAAAGATCTGAACCATAAACCAGGTCCCACCTGTCTCACCTGACACCTCACCTGTCTCACCTGACACCCTCACCTGTCTCACCTGACACCCTCACCTGTCTCACCTGACACCCTCACCTGTCTCACCTGACACCCTCACCTGTCTCACCTGACACCCTCACCTGTCTCACCTGACACCCTCACCTGTCTCACCTGACACCCTCACCTGTCTCACCTGTCGACTCACAGACGAGCGTCGGAGCTAAAACCTGAGGCTGCACGATTTCACCAGCACTGGGACTGAGCAGATTTGTGATTTCTGTTCAAATTTCACATTTTAAACCCGAAGAATCGACAAAAACACTGAAATCTGAACAGGGCGAGATGTTTGAGATGTTTGAGGTTTTTTGATGCAGATTAAAAGATGATTTTGTTTGTGGAGAAAATTCTAGAGCTTGTTTGATGTGAGAATCGAGTCTTTTCAGATTGACATTCGTTTCCGTCGAATCGTGCAGCCTCCGTCCTCCGTCCTCCGTCGTCCGTCTCGACCGTTCGGCGACTCGAGGTCGAAATCACAAACTTCAGAATCGATAAATCAGGTGTGTGTTTTTGTTTTTTTTGTGAAACTGAAAGTCGTGGAAGCTTCACCGGTTTGTGGCCCAATTTGAGAAACGTCGTGTCGTCACGTTTTAGCGGAAAATTTCGGTTTTGAGCGTTTAAAAAGTGATTTTCGTAAACTCGTGTTCACAGCGACGCAGAAGCAGAAGCAGAAGGTGAAGCTTTAAAAGGCTCAAATGTTTGACAAGAAAAATAAAACTGAAAAAAACTAAGAAATTGAGGAAGAAGAGGAGGAGGAGGAGGAGGAAGGCCTGTCGTCATCATTACATCGACTTCAGTTTAGAAACGCTGGACTTAAATATTTTGGGTTTCAGATTTATCGTGTGCAATTTTTTTTGACACTCGGTCAGAAAAATGTTGAGATGAAAACGTCTAAAACCTTCTGCTGTTCAGTCGTGTTTCATTTGTTCTTTTGAATTTCAATTAAGAACGAAAAACAAATGTGAAAAAAAAGTGTTTCATTCAGTTTTCTGTTTTGGTGTTGATAGAAACAAAACAAAAAACAGATTTCGACCTCGATTTCCAATATTTAATTTAACAAGTATTTCAGTAAGTCTCGTTTTTTTAATGTTGATTTTTGATTCTCTGGTTTATTTGAAGTTGAACCTGAAAAATCGCTGCAGTTTCGTGACAAATGTGTTTCGTTTTTTCACTGCGACGCTTTTATTTTCACGTCTTAGAAAGTCTCTGTTGATCTGAGAAACTTTGTTCAGTCGGTTTTTGTAGAACTGTAATAAAATCTAAAAATAAAAATGTTTTATTCCTGCTCCACGGTCGATTCTGAGCTGCAGAACTTCAGACAAACCAGAGAATCAAATATCGACATTAAAACAGAAACAAGATGGTTTTTTTTTAAATAAACTTTAATCAGGTTCCACACTCTTTCTCACAAACAACATTTCCAGACTTTTCCTTGAGCTAAAGTGAATTTTCCATGACTTTCCAGCACCTACATGTGTAGAATTGATCATGGTTTTAGTCTAAATCTGAAGCATCTTTAGACTCACCGTATGATTATAGTTTCTGAACATTCTAAATCCTGTCGGTGCGTTTATCGTCGTCTCTTTTAAACAAAAGACGTTCAGACATAATCAGAACAAACTCATGAGAAGTGAACAGAAAACCGGAGCCAAGGGAAACACACTACAATTCCAAGAGTTTTCCAGGATTTGGGGAACCTTGTTTAAATTAAAAACTGGAAATCGAGGTCAAAATGCGTTTTTGTTTGACACTAAAACAGAAAAATGAAATAAACCGTTTTCACATTTGATCGTTTTTCGTTCTTAAAGGTTAAACAGAGGATTTTTTTTTTAAGTTTCAAACTGTCGATGAAAGTTTAAAATACCGTTACAGAGACACGCAGCCTTGGAATTATGATGAACAAAAAAAAAAAGAACGAAAATCCATCAACTGTGGACGTGTTGAGGCCAGATAAACATCAGCCAATAGAAAACGAGGCTCCCTCATTTTCTATTGGCTGTTGGGTCGTCAATCAAACTCCCTATGTTTCTAGTGTAACTGACTCGTCGTCGCGCGGGGATTATGTGGTTTATGCAGCGGTTCTTAGAGGCTTTTTTAAACTGTCGCTTCCTCACAGTTCGCACAAAGTTTGTCGCGATGTCGGACGAGAATCCACGACCAGTTCACCGCAAAAGAAACTCGGTTTTTGAGGTCGATGAAAGAAGAAGAGAAGGAGAAAAGGAGCGAAGACAAACTGAGGTGATTCTTGGAGATCGTTCCAGCGATGGCGCGAATGAAGCAGACGAAGGGTCTAAAAACTGACACGTCGGTCGATAAATTATTTCTAGACGGGAAACTTCGGCAGCGATTCTGAACGGTCGCTGTAATTCTCCTTCCTTAAAAAAAATCGTCTATACAACCTTTAATTGAAAAGAACAAACGGAACAAACAGAACGGACGAGTCTCGGTTCTTTCTGTTCCGGCGTCTTTGTGACACGAGTTTAAAAAGTTTCACTCAGAAGATCGAGGTTTGTGTCTCAGAAAGAAACAAGTTTCATTTTGATCTTTTATCGCAGCATTTCTGACATCGAGACGTGACAGGAGGAAGAGGAAGAGGAGGAGGAAGAGGAGGAGGAAGAGGAGGAGGAGGAGGAGGAGGAGGAGGAGGAGAGGAGAGGAGGAGGAGGAAGAGGAGGAGAGGAGGAGGAGAGGAGGAGGAGGAAGAGGAGGAGGAGGAGGAGAGGAGAGGAGGAGAGAGGAGGAGGAGAGGAGGAGGAGGAGGAGGAGGAGGAGGAGGAGGAGGAGGAGGAGGAGGAAGAGGAGGAGGAGAGGAAGAGGAGGAGGAGGAGGAGGAGGAGAGGAAGAGGAGGAAGAGGAGGAGGAGGAGAGGAGAGAGGAGAGGAGGAAGGAGAGGAGAGAGGAGGAGGAGGAAGAGAGGAGAGGAGAGGAGGAAGAGGAGAGGAGGAGGAGGAGGAAGAGAGAGGAAGAGGAGGAGGAGAAGAGAGGAAGGAAGGAGGAGGAGGAAAGAGGAGGAGGAGGAAGAGGAGGAGGAGAAGAGGAGGAAGAGGAGGAAGAGGAGGCAGGCGTGTGTCGTGTGTCGCAGATTTAACGAAGTGAAAATGGGATTTTTTTTTTTTTTTTTTTTTTTTAAACGTAATTGTAGAAAATGAGACGTTTTTGGTTGTTTATTGCTGAAGCTCAAATTAAGGCAAGTTTTAAACCAAATTCAACCAAGAAAATTCAAGGGTTTGATTTAACGAAGGCCACAACAAAAAGAACATCAGGACTCGAACCCACAACCTCCTCGTGACGGGGAGAACAGGTCTGCTGCACAAACACGGGCAGAACATGAGCGAGTCTCGTTTTAGAGCAAAACCAGGTCTAGACCAGGTCCAAACCAAGTCTGAACCAGAACTGAACCAGGACTAAACCAGGTCTGAACCAGGACTGAACCAGGACCAGGACTAAACCAGGACTGAACCAGGACTAAACCAGGACCAGGACTGAACCAGGACTAAACCAGGACCAGACTAAACCAGGACTAAACCAGGACTGAACCAGTACTGACTAAACAGGACTAAACCAGGTCTGACCAGGACTAAACCAGGACTGAACCAGGACTAAACCAGGACCAGGACTAAAGGAACCAGGACTGAAACCAGGACCAGGACTAAACCAGGTCTGAACCAGGACTGAACCAGGACCAGGACTAAACCAGGACTGAACCAGGACCAGGACTGATCTCCAAGAGAAATTTGAAAATCATGACATGTTTCATTTTGAGCTCGTCCAGAGACTAAAACCTGAACTTTGAACTTTGAACTCATCCAAGACCCTCAGGAGCAACAGAAGAGGGAGAAGGTCAAAACAAACAAGAGCACAGAAAACTGTCCCAGTTTGAAACCAGGACTAAACCAGGTCTACATCAGGTTCAAACCAGATCTAAAACCAGGTCCAACACAGGGACTAAACCAGGTCTACATCAGATGTAAACCAGGACTAATTTTGGGTCTAAAGCAGGTCTACATCAGGTCCAGAAGCAAAATCATTAGAACAGAAAAGAGAAATTGAGCAGAACCAGCTGAAAAGTTCTGGAATAGAACCTGAAGCTCCTCAGGACCAGACCCGGGACCAGACCCGGGACCAGACTCGGGACCAGACCCGGTGTGTGGAGAAGTTTCGATCTGAGCGACGAGTCCAAAACTCAACACTGTTTCAATTTAGTGACGAATCATTTGCACTTTTAAAGATTTAACGAGCGCAGCCTCCTGTGATTGGATAAACCCGCCTGTCACTCACACCGTCCGACCAATAGGAGGACAACGAGGAGGAGGACGAGGACGACATGTTGGAGTTTTGTCGTCCCTCAGATCGAGTTTCAAAAAGATTCAAGACGATTTAACAAAAGCAAAGTCTGAAAATAAAGAACAAGTTTAAAGAAGAAAATACAGAAATCTGAAGAAGAAGAAAGAACAGAACAGGAAGAGGAAGAGGAGGAGGAGGAGGAGGAAGTGCAGAGTCTGGTGCGTTTTGTGTTTTTTTCCGGTCAGAGGAAAGCGTGATCGTGATCGTGATGATGATGGTGATGATGAAGCTGCGGTGACAGTTTGTCGTTTACAGTCGTTCCAAAACTGTAAAATAAGGCAAAACTGGCGTCTGTCTCCACGGCGACGGCTCCGAGACGTAAACAACGCTGTGGAACTTTTTCAGAGCGGAGTTCAGGTCCGTCGTCCCCCCGGCTCGGCGGGAGGACGGGAGGGCGTCCGGCACAGTCCTCCTGATGGGCCGGTGTGGTGTCGGCGTTGCCGCGGTGACGGGGTTGTCCTGTTGGGTCCTGAGTCGGAGACACGACACGGCGTTGGGAATGTTACGTTTTTATTTTCATCACACATGGAAAAATAGAACCTGGTACAAACTCTTATTATTTATTAACATGGCCGACAGCGAGCGGCGTTTGGCACGGCGCCGCGCTCGCCGCCGCGCTCGCCGCCGCTCGGACCAAACTAAAGAAGCTCCGGTGCCACGGAAACGTCCACAGTCTTTTATTTCCTTCGTCTCAAATGTCGAGGTCGTGCGGCGGGGTCAGGGGTCGTCGCTGCGGAAACCGAAGGTGGTGTGATGTCATCATCCGTCGTCAGTCGCTCTCACACACACACACGCTGCTGCTCGGCTCCACCAATCAGAGGCCGCGCAGGGGGCACGCGGCCCCACAGGAACCAATAGGAAAACACCGCTGTCCACAAGCTCCACCCCCCCGATCTGAAACAGGAAACGCCACATTTAGAACAGAAAAAACTTAAATAAAACAAAAATGGTTGATAAATTATTAGCAGTTGTGAGAAGTGTGTGTTTTTATAAACGTTGTCAGAGGTGAGGGTTCGGAGGTTTGGAGGTTTGGTCTGCGGCGGCGGCGGCGGCAGCGGCGGCGGGGCGTCCCTCAGGGTTAGGGTTTAGAGCCTCTGTTATTTATTATTTATATAAATGATGTAAAAACTCTTTGTAAAAGTGTTGCTCTCGTGTTTCCATCTCATCCCCGTCTAAATGTTCTGAGAAGAAAATGACCACGCCCACTGACCACACCCACTGACCACGCCCACTGACCACGCCCACTGACCACGCCTTGTAGTAGCAGTATTTGTATTTAGTAGTAGTAGTAGTAGTACTTGTAGTATTTGTAGTACCAGGCCTGCGTCTTGAGCTTGTGTTACAGTAGTAGTAGTAGTGTTAGTAGTAGTATTTGTAGTATTTGTAGTATTTGCAGTACCAGGCCTGCGTCTTGAGCTTGTGTTACAGTAGTAGTAGTAGTGTTAGTAGTAGTATTTGTAGTATTTGTAGTACCAGGCCTGCGTCTTGAGCTTGTGTTACAGTAGTAGTAGTAGTGTTAGTATTTGTAGTATTTGTAGTATTTGCAGTACCAGGCCTGCGTCTTGAGCTTGTGTTACAGTAGTAGTAGTGTTAGTATTTGTTAGTATTTGTAGTATTTGTAGTATTTGCAGTACCAGGCCTGCGTCTTGAGCTTGTGTTACAGTAGTAGTAGTAGTGTTAGTATTTGTAGTATTTGTAGTATTTGCAGTACCAGGCCTGCGTCTTGAGCTTGTGTTACAGTAGTAGTAGTAGTGTTAGTATTTGTAGTATTTGTAGTATTTGTAGTATTTGTGCAGTACCAGGCCTGCGTCTTGAGCTTGTGTTACAGTAGTAGTAGTAGTGTTAGTATTTGTAGTATTTGTAGTATTTGTAGTATTTGCAGTACCAGGCCTGCGTCTTGAGCTTGTGTTACAGTAGTAGTAGTAGTGTTAGTATTTGTAGTATTTGTAGTATTTGTAGTATTTGCAGTACCAGGCCTGCGTCTTGAGCTTGTGTTACAGTAGTAGTAGTAGTAGTATTTGTAGTATTTGTAGTATTTGCAGTACCAGGCCTGCGTCTTGAGCTTGTGTTACAGTAGTAGTAGTGTTAGTATTTGTTGTATTTGTAGTATTTGTAGTATTTGCAGTACCAGGCCTGCGTCTTGAGCTTGTGTTACAGTAGTAGTAGTGTTAGTATTTGTAGTATTTGTAGTATTTGCAGTACCAGGCCTGCGTCTTGAGCTTGTGTTTACAGTAGTAGTAGTAGTTAGTATTTGTAGTATTGTGTAGTATTTGCAGTACCAGGCCTGCGTCTTGAGCTTGTGTTACAGTAGTAGTAGTGTTAGTATTTGTAGTATTTGTAGTATTTGCAGTACCAGGCCTGCGTCTTGAGCTTGTGTTACAGTAGTAGTAGTAGTTAGTATTTGTAGTATTTGTAGTATTTGCAGTACCAGGCCTGCGTCTTGAGCTTGTGTTACAGTAGTAGTAGTGTTAGTATTTGTAGTATTTGTAGTATTTGTAGTATTTGCAGTACCAGGCCTGCGTCTTGAGCTTGTGTTACAGTAGTAGTAGTGTTAGTATTTGTAGTATTTGTAGTATTTGTAGTATTTGCAGTACCAGGCCTGCGTCTTGAGCTTGCGCAGCTCCTTCGTGGCCCATCCTGCCAGAGTCTTGGTTTTCTGGGTTTTCGAGCGTCGTCCTTCAGTCAGAAGTTCGTTGATTCTGGGAAGATCGTCCACGAGTTTCCCCACGTCCTTCCCAAACGCCACACACATGTCCCTGAAAATACACACATGTCCCTGAAAATACACACATGTCCCTGAAAATACACACATGTCCCTGAAAATACACACAAGTACAAGTACTACACACAAGTACTGTGTACTACACACAAGTACAAGTACTACACACGAGTACAAGTACTACACACAAGTACTGTGTACAAATACAAATACTCTGATCCAGCAGCTTCCCCATGTCTTTAACACACAACACAAAACAACACACACACACACACACAAACACAACGCACACACACAAACACAACACACACAACACACAAACACAACACACAAACACACAACACACACAAACACACAACACACACACACACCACACACACACACACACACACACACACACACACACACACACACACACACACACACACACACACACACAAACACACACACACACACACACACACACACACACACACACACACACACACACACACACACACACACACACACAACACACACAACACACACACACACACACACACACACAAACACACACAAACACACACACACAAACAACACACACACACACAAACACGCAACACACACACAAAACACAACACACACACGCACACAACACACACACACAAACACAACACACAACCACGCAACACACACAACACACAAACACACACACACACACACAACACACAACCACGCAACACACACACACACAACACACACACAAACACACACACACACACACACAACACACGCCCCTCTGCCCTTTTATGGAACATCCTGTGGGGGAGGAGCCAATCACAGCCATTTTTATTTCTGCTGATTTTAGAAACGTTTAAGTGAACGAAGCAGAAAAACAACTGGACTGAAAGTGTGGAGTCTGTTCATGTGGTTTATGGGAGGTGATCCTAAAGCTCTTCACTGTGACGAGTGTGTACGGTACAAGTGTGTGCGCGTGCACGTGTGTGTATGTGTGCGCGTGTGTGTGTGTGCGCGTGTGTATGTGTGCGCGTGTGTGTGTGTGCGCGTGCACGTGTGTGTGTGTATGTGTGCGCGCGTGTGTGTGTGTATGTGTGCGTGCACGTGTGTGTGTGTATGTTTATGTGTGCGCGCATGTGTGTGTATGTGTGCGCGTGCACGTGTCTGTGTGTATGTGTGCGCGTGCACGTGTGTGTGTGTATGTGTGCACATGTGTGTGTGTATGTGTGCACATGTGTGTGTGTGTATGTGTGTATGTGTGCGCGTGCACGTGTGTGTGTGTATGTGTATGTGTGCACGTGTGTGTATGTGTGCGTGTGCACGTGTGTGTGTGTGTATGTGTACACATGTGTGTGTAAAGTTCATTTTCTACATGAACAGTTCAAAGTTCAGATCACAAGTTTCAAATTAAACTTGTTGGTTCATGATTATTTACAGTAAATAGTTTCAAATATGAACTTGTTCATTGTTTTCTTTGTTGTGTGTGATTATTTTAGTTTCGTTGTTGTGATTATTTTAGTTTCGTTGTTGTGATTATTTTAGTTTCGTTGTTGTGTTGCCAAAGCGTCAGAACCGCACACAGACGTGACCTGATCAGTTTAACAAAGAAACTGTTCAGTTTCATCTTTATCAGTTTGGCTCCTGATGCTTCAGGCTTCACTCCAGCGTTTAACAAACTGTTTGTGCAGGGCCGCTCCTGTCTCCCGCGGACGACAGGGCCGCTCCTGTCTCCCGCGGACGACAGGGCCGCTCCTGTCTCCCGCGGACGACAGGGCCGCTCCTGTCTCCCGCGGACGACAGGGCCGCTCCTGTCTCCCGAGGGCGACAGGGCCGCTCCTGTCGCTGTCAGTGGGGTTTGAGCGGAGGATCTGTCTTGATTTGGTGTTTTAGTTTGATAAAGTGTGTGCAGGTCCTTCAGGTCAGTGTGATGTTTGGAGTTTGTTGTTGGTGCGACTCGTGTGGATTTTTTTCTTTTTTCTCTTCAGTCGAGTTTCACCTGAACAACGACGACTCAACAAAGAAACTGAAGCTCAGACTCAGAGTGAACGAGCTCAGGTCAGAAACACAGAACTCAGGTCAGGACCAGAATATGAACACTCAGGTCCAACACTGTGTGTGTCTGTGTCTGTCTGTGTGTCTGTCTGTGTGTGTGTGTCTGTCTGTGTGTGTGTGTCTGTCTGTGTGTGTGTGTGTGTGTGTGTGTGTGTGTGTCTGTGTGTGTGTGTGTGTCTGTCTGTCTGTGTGTGTGTGTGTGTCTGTCTGTGTCTGTGTGTGTGTCTGTCTGTGTGTGCGCGTGTCTGTGTGCGCGTGTCTGTGTGCGCATGTCTGTGTGCGCGCGTGTGCACATGTCTGTGTGTGTGTGTGTGCTGTGTGTGTGTGTGTGTGTGTCTGTCTGTGTGTGTGTGTGTCTGTCTGTGTGTGTGTGTGTCTGTCTGTGTCTGTGTGTGTGTGTCTGTCTGTGTCTGTGTGTGTGTCTGTCTGTGTGTGTGTCTGTGTGCGCGTGTCTGTGTGCGCATGTCTGTGTGCTGTGTGTCTGTGTGTGTGTGTGCTCTGTCTGTGTGTGTGTGTGTGTGTCTGTGTGTGTGTGTGTGTCTGTCTGTGTGTGTGTGTGTGTCTGTCTGTGTGTGTGTGTGTGTCTGTGTGTGTGTGTGTGTGTCTGTGTGTGTGTGTGTGTGTGTCTGTCTGTGTGTGTGTGTGTGTGTCTGTCTGTGTGTGTGTGTGTCTGTGTGTCTGTCTGTGTGTGTGTGTGTCTGTCTGTGTGTGTGTGTGTCTGTTTGCTGTGTGTGTGTGTGTCTGTCTGTGTGTGTGTGTGTGCGTGTCTGTGTGTGTGTGTGTGTCTGTCTGTGTGTGTGTGTGTCTGTCTGTGTGTGTGTGTGTGTCTGTCTGTGTGTGTGTGTGTGTGTGTGTGTCTGTCTGTGTGTGTGTGTCTGTCTGTGCGCGTGTCTGTGTGCGCGTGTCTGTGTGCGCGTGTCTGTGTGCGCGCGTGTGCACATGTGTGTGTTTTACCCGATGAGTCCGGCGGAGTTCGCCACGACTCCGTCTGAATGATCTTCGTCCATGGCGATGTGATCGATGAAGGAGAGAATGAAGGGCACACGAGGCTGCATCAGCATCACGTCCGCTACACACAAAATACACACACCATTACACACATGTCCCCTACACACAAAATACACACACCATTACACACATGTCCCCTACACACAAAATACACACACCATTACACACATGTCCCCTACACACAAAATACACACACCATTACACACATGTCCGCTACACACAAAATACACACACCATTACACACATGTCCGCTACACACAAAATACACACACCATTACACACATGTCCGCTACACACAAAATACACACACACCATTACACACATGTCCCTACACACAAAATACACACACCATTACACACACGTCCCCTACACACAAAATACACACACCATTACACACACGTCCCCTACGCACAAAATACACACACCATTACACACAAAATACACACACCATTACACACATGTCCGCTACACACAAAATACACACACCATTACACACATGTCCCCTACACACAAAATACACACACCATTACACACATGTCCGCTACACACAAAATACACACACCATTACACACATGTCCGCTACACACAAAATACACACACCATTACACACACGTCCCCTACACACAAAATACACACACCATTACACACATGTCCCCTACACACAAAATACACACACCATTACACACATGTCCGCTACACACAAAATACACACACCATTACACACATGTCCGCTACACACAAAATACACACATTACACACACGTCTACACACAAATACACACACATACACACATGTCCCTACACACAAAATACACACACCATTACACACATGTCCTACACACAAAATGCACACACCATACACACATGTCCGCTACACACAAAATACACACACCATTACACACATGTCCGTACACACAAAATACACACACACCATTACACACATGTCCCTACACACAAAATACACACACCATTACACACACGTCCCCTACACACAAAATACACACACCATTACACACACGACAAAATACACACACGTCCACACACACAAAAACACACACCATTACACACATGTCCGCTACACACAAAATACACACACCATTACACACATGTCCCCTACACACAAAATACACACACCATACACACATGTCCCTACACACAAAATACACACACATTACACACATGTCCGCTACACACAAAATACACACACCATTACACACATGTCCGCTACACACAAAATACACACACCATTACACACATGTCCCCCTACACACAAAATACACACACACATTACACACACGTCTACACACAAAATACACACACCATTACACACACGTCAGCTACACACAAAATACACACACCGTTACACACAAAAAACACACAATTACACACATGTCCGCTACACACAAAATACACACACGTCAGCTACACACAAAACACATTTACACACGTCAGCTACACACAAAACACAGTTACACACAGAGTCCCACACAGACACGTGTAAGAGGATTTAAAACCATCACAGCAGCTGCACACACAGAAATAAAACACACACACACACACACACACACACACACACACACACAAACACACACGCACACGTCCATGTGCAGGAGCTTTTAGACGACGACAGAAACCAAAACATTTAAAACTGTCGCTTCAGAAACAAGAAAAAAACAAACACAGAAGAGACGAGGAGGATCTAAAGTTTGTAGGATCCCGCAAAACCAGGCGCCCTGTGGTGAGAGGGCGACTGGGCGAAGAGACCCGTTTGTCTGTGACGTTCTAAAATCTCCCTGTGGAACTCTGAGCAGAGAGAGGAACGAACGTCACTACAGGAGAACATCAGAAGAACCAACGTCACTACAGGAGAACCTCAGAAGAACCAACGTCACTACAGGAGAACATCAGAAGAACCAACGTCACTACAGGAGAACCTCAGAAGAACCAAAGTCACTACAGGAGAACATCAGAGAACATCAGAAGAACCAACGTCACTACAGGAGAACCTCAGAAGAACCAACGTCACTACAGGAGAACATCAGAGAACATCAGAAGAACCAACGTCACTACAGGAGAACCTCAGAAGAACCAACGTCACTACAGGAGAACATCAGAAGAACCAACGTCACTACAGGAGAACCTCAGAAGAACCAACGTCACTACAGGAGAACCTCAGAAGAACCAACGTCACTACAGGAGAACATCAGAAGAACCAACGTCACTACAGGAGAACCTCAGAAGAACCGTCACTACAGAAACATCAGAAGAACCAACGTCACTACAGGAGAACCTCAGAAGAACATCAGAAGAACCAACGTCACTACAGGAGAACCTCAGAAGAACCAACGTCACTACAGGAGAACCTCAGAAGAACCAACGTCACTACAGGAGAACCTCAGAAGAACCAACGTCACTACAGGAGAACCTCAGAAGAACCAACGTCACTACAGAAGAACCTCAGAAAAAACCAACGTCACTACAGGAGAACCTCAGAAGAACATCAGAAGAACCAACGTCACTACAGGAGAACCTCAGAAGAACCAACGTCACTACAGGAGAACCTCAGAAGAACCAACGTCACTACAGGAGAACCTCAGAAGAACCAAAGTCACTACAGGAGAACCTCAGAAGAACCAACGTCACTACAGGAGAACCTCAGAAGAAACCAACGTCACTACAGGAGAACCTCAGAAGAACCAACGTCACTACAGGAAACCTCAGAAGAACCAACGTCACTACAGGAGAACATCAGAAGAACATCAGAAGAACCAACGTCACTACAGGAGAACCTCAGAAAGAACCAAAGTCACTACAGGAGAACCTCAGAAGAACCAACGTCACTACTACAGCAGAACCTCAGAAGAACCAACGTCACTACAGGAGAACATCAGAAGAACCAACGTCACTACAGGAGAACATCAGAAAAGAACATCAGAAGAACCTCAGAGAAGAACCAACGTCACTACAGGAGAACCTCAGAAGAACCAACGTCACTACAGGAGAAACCTCAGAAAGAACCAACGTCACTACAGGAGAACCTCAGAAGAACCAACGTCACTACAGGAGAACCTCAGAAGAACCAACGTCACTACAGGAGAACATCAGAAGAACATCAGGAGAACATCAGAAGAACCAACGTCACTACAGGAGAACCTCAGAAGAACCAACGTCACTACAGGAGAACCTCAGAAGAACCAACGTCACTACAGGAGAACCTCAGAAGAACCAACGTCACTACAGGAGAACCTCAGAAAAAACCAACGTCACTACAGAGAAACCTCAGAAGAACCAACGTCACTACAGGAGAACCTCAGAAGAACCAACGTCACTACAGGAGAACATCAGAAGAACATCAGAAGAACCAACGTCACTACAGGAGAACCTCAGAAGAACCAACGTCACTACAGGAGAACCTCAGAAGAACCAACGTCACTACAGGAGAACATCAGAAGACATCAGAAGAACATCAGAAGAACCAACGTCACTACAGGAGAACCTCAGAAGAACCAACGTCACTACAGGAGAACCTCAGAAGAACCAACGTCACTACAGGAGAACCTCAGAAGAACCAACGTCACTACAGGAGAACCTCAGAAGAACCAACGTCACTACAGGAGAACATCAGAAGAACCAACGTCACTACAGGAGAACCTCAGAAGAACCAACGTCACTACAGGAGAACATCAGAAGAACCAAAGTCACTACAGGAGAACATCAGAAGAACATCAGAAGAACCAACGTCACTACAGGAGAACATCAGAAGAACATCAGGAGAACATCAGAAGAACATCAGGAGAACATCAGGAGAACATCAGGAGAACATCAGAAGAACCAACATCGCTACAGGAGAACATCAGAGGAGAGGTGTTAGTATGAGTGTTGTTCTCACGGTGGATGACGTTCTCCTGGTCGCCCTTCAGGCCCTGGATGATCCCGGTGTAGGCCTCCAGACAGCCCTCCCTCAGCTCGTTCAGGTAATCCACCATGTCATAGTCCGTCTGAAACACACAGAACCACCAGTCAAAACCACCTCCACGGAACAGAACATTCAGAACCTGTGAAGAACACTCAACCCAAAGGCAGAACATTCAGAACCTGTGAAGAACACTCAACCCAAAGGCAGAACATTCAGAACCTGTGAAGAACACTCAACCCAAAGGCAGAACATTCAGAACCTGTGAAGAACACTCAACCCAAAGGCAGAACATTCAGAACCTGTGAAGAACACTCAACCCAAAGGCAGACGGGCCTCAGGTTTGAGACTGGATCAGACTCTGTTCTCGTTTAGTCTAATTCGACTTTTAATCTAAATATTCTTCGGTTCCACTTCCACAGGAACCTTCTGCCACCTGGGTGACCCCTGAGTAGGAGCGGGCGATATCTCGATATTTTAAATATATGGAGATATTTTTTAAACTCGATATGAATTCTGAATATCGTATATATCGAAATAATCTTTATATTCAGTTCTGATTTTGCTGCGTCGCTTGTTTTTCTTCTGTCTCTGATTCTGCTGCTTGTGTCTCTTCTCACTGTCGCCTGAACGTCCAAAGTTGTTGCCAGTGAAAATCTTCAAGCCCCACGAAACCTCTCCACCATCAGCAGAACACCCCTCTGACACAGAGAGAACACCCCTCTGTCACACAGAGAACACCCCTCTGACACAGAGAGAACACCCCTCTGTCACAGAGAGAAACACCCCTCTGTCAGAGAGAACACCCTCTGACACACAGAGAGAACACCCCTCTGACACACAGAGAGAACACCCCTCTGACACACAGAGAGAAACACCCCTCTGACACAGAGAGAACACCCCTCTGACACAGAGGAGAACACCCCTCTGTCACAGAGAGAACACCCCTCTGACACAGAGAGAACACCCCTCTGTCACACAGAGAGAACACCCCTCTGACACAGAGAGAACACCCCTCTGACACAGAGAGAACACCCCTCTGACACAGAGAGAACACCCCTCTGTCACAGAGAGAACACCCCTCTGACACAGAGAGAAGAACACCCCTCTGTCACACAGAGAGAACACCCCTCTGTCACACAGAGAGAACACCCCTCTGACACAGAGAGAACACCCCTGACACACCCCTCTGTCACAGAGAGAACACCCCTCTGACACAGAGAGAACACCCCTCTGTCACAGAGAGAACACCCCTCTGTCACAGAGAGAACACCCCTCTGACACAGAGAGAGAACACCCCTCTGTCACACAGAGAGAACACCCCTCTGACACAGAGAGAACACCCCTCTGTCACAGAGAGAACACCCCTCTGACACAGAGAGAACACCCCTCTGTCACACAGAGAGAACACCCCTCTGACACACAGAGAGAACACCCCTCTGTCACAGGAGAGAGAAACACCCCTCTGTCACAGAGAGAGAACACCCCTCTGTCACAGAGAGAACACCCCTCTGACACAGAGAGAACACCCCTCTGTCACACAGAGAGAACACCCCTCTGACACAGAGAGAACACCCCTCTGTCACAGAGAGAACACCCCTCTGACACACCCCTCTGTCACAGAGAGAGAACACCCCTCTGACACACAGAGAGAAACACCCCTCTGTCACACAGGAGAACACCCCTTCATATTCCACTGAGTCTCTGTGTCTTTAGTCCAACACAAACTGAACCACATCAGACACAAGAAACAACAGTTTTTTTCACACATTAGTTTATGCAAATGAGTCATGTGATTTAATGTTTAGTTTGTGTCAAACTTAAATGTGTTAAAACTGAATTAAACACATGATAATGTCAAACAGCTGATGTGGATCTAGAGTCGTTATGTTTAAATATTGTAAAGTTTATTTATGTAGAAGATTTTCATGAAGAATCTGCTTCGGTGTCACTTGTACAACAGAGTTTGAATCGTTGGGTTTGATCTGCAGGGGACTGTGGGATTAAACCTCAGAGCTCCTCACGCTGGAACATGGATCTGTTCAAATAATGAACCTCTTGATCTTCTGACACTGAAGGAGCTGATGGTCATGTTCATGGTCATGATGATGTTGATGTTCATGTTCCTCGTTCGGTTACAGAGTTAATACAAACATGAGCTTGAGTTGAGTTGTTTTATTTATGGATGAAAAGAAGGAAATATGTTTTATTTCTTTTATTTTACAGTTTATTTTTTGTATAATTAGGGATTTTTTTGTCATCTTAAATGTGGCAGAAGTTGTTTGTTCCTACATGAACACTGAGTGTGTCACGTGCACATCAGTATCTCGGTTCTGTCAGTGTTCGTGTTACTGTGTTTACATGAGCACTGAGAAACCGGGACACTCATATCCACGTGGACATGATCAAATGTTGTGTCCCGGTTTCTTGACATAATCTTACAAATGCACAAGTGCAAAAATTTACTTAAATCAATTTAATAAACCAGGAAAAATACAAACCGTGAGCTAATTTAGCATAAGAAGCTAAGGAGCTACGAGATTTCCCACAATCCACTGCACACATCAAACCAACAGATTCTTCATTCAAATCTTCTAAAACATCTAAACCAGAACCACTGTAGACACATCAGCCCGTTTGATCAGATCATTCAGCTCTGATCACATTTGTTTACGTTTTACAGAAACAAAACTTAAAACTGCATGGATCATTAGCATAAACTGTTAGCGGTGATAAAAACAGCTGCTCCTTGTGCCGCTGATGTGATCAGATTCTTTTGGACTAAATGACTCGACTCAGTGGATTATGTGAGTTGTTTCTGTGACAGAAGAGGTGCTGATGATGGTGAGTCTGTTCTGTGTGTGTGTCGTACAGGAGATAGTTCATGTTTTAGTTTTTCAGCGTCACACGAGTGCAGGTCGTACATGTGCAGGTTTAGTGCAGCTCTTTATTTTAGTTATTTCACTCGTTTGTTCACTTTATTTCTGACGGTCAATTTATTTATGTCGCTACTGTTGTAGTGAAAAGACTGGAAAGTGTCTTCTGGACGCATGCGCACTCAACTTTATGTTGTAGTAACTGGGATACTGTGTTTACATGCCACAGTATCCCGGTTACTATCGGAATAAACCAGATACAGTGTCCCAGTTTCGTCCGCCATCTCAACAAACTTTGTACGAACTGTGAGGAAGCGACAGTTTAAAAAAGCCTCTAAGAACCGCAGCATAAACCACATAATCCCCGCGCGCCGACGAGTCAGTTACACTAGAAACGTAGGGAGTTTGATTGACAACCTGACAGCCAATAGAAAATGAGGGAGCCTTGTTTTCTATTGGCTGATGTTTATCTGGCCTCAACACGTCCACAGTTGATAGATTTTCATTCTTTTTTTTTTGGTCATTATAATTACAAAGCTGCTGCGTCTCTGTAATGGTATTTTAAACTTTCATCAACAATTTAAAACAAAAAAAAATCCTCCATTCAACCTTTAATGCAAACATGAGCTTGAGTTGAGTTGTTTTATTTATGAATGAAAAGAAGGAAATATGTTTTATTTCTTTTATTTTACAGTTTATTATTTATATTATTAGGGTTTTTTGTCACCTTAAACGTGGCAGAAGTTCTTTGTTCCTACATGAACCCTGGAGTTTGGCAGATTTGTTTTTACAGGAGTTTTGGGGGGTTATTTTTCCTGTACACATATATATCGTATATCGACACTGTTGTGGAGTAACAGATTACATGTACCGGAGTAATCAGAGTACAAATGATGAGTAACTGTATTCAGTTAGTTACTGTTTCAGTGAGTGATAATTGGATTACAGTTACTTTGTTGAAATAAGGGATTTTCCTGTTTTCACATTTTGGGCTAATCCAGGACTAAAATCAGTTCTAAACCTGGTCTGAACCAGGTCTTAAACCAGGACTAAACCCAAACCAGAAACCAGGACTAAACCCAGGACTAAACCCAGGACTAAAACCAGGTCTAAACCAGGACTAAACCAGGTCTAAACCAGGTCTAAAACAGGATTTAACAGGACTAAATCCTGCTGCGTGGACCACGTCTCCTCCTCTTCTATCAATAATATTTTTAAAACGGTTCAGTAAAGTTGTGAAGATTTCCTCGTCTTTGTTTGTCTACAGCAAATCAAGTAATCCAAAGTAATCAGATTACATTACTCACTTTATGTAATTTAATGGATTATGTTACAAACTACATTTTGGGGTGTGTAATCTGTAATCTGTAGGGGATTACATTTTAAAAGTGACCTTCTCAACACTGTATATCGAGATATAGAAAAACGTATCGAGATATATTTTTTGCTCCATATGGCCCAGTCCGACCCCTGACCCCTGACCCCTGGTACCTTGTCCACCTGCGCCTGTGAGGCCTGGTCCAGCGTGTCCAGCACCACGGCCAGGTACTTCTTAAACTCTCCCCCGATGGCCAGAGCGATGTCCCCGAACACGGACAGGATCTGAGGCTTCACGGACCGATGGACGTCCTGGTTCTGAACAGACACGAGACACGAGGAGAAGGTCAGACCGAGAGGAGAGTGAGAGGAGAGAGCGCCCCCTTCAGGACAAACCGCACTCACCCTGAGGTTCTCCAGCAGCAGGTTCATGATCTTGTCGCAGTACGGCAGAATATTGGACATGAGCGCTCTGCACAGGTCGCACACCAACCCCACGGCCGCCAGGCAAACCTGAGACACGACCAGAACAAACATGAAGACGTCAAACCAACAACGTCACCAAACCTAAAAGACGAGGAGGATCTAAAGTTTGTAGGATCCCGCAAAACCAGGCGCCCTGTGGTGAGAGGGCGACTGGGCGAAGAGACCCGTTTGTCTGTGACGTTCTAAAATCTCCCTGTGGAACTCTGAGCAGAGAGAGGAACGAACGTCACTACAGGAGAACATCAGAAGAACCAACGTCACTACAGGAGAACATCAGAAGAACCAACATCACTACAGGAGAACCTCAGAAGAACCAACATCACTACAGGAGAACCTCAGAAGAACCAACATCGCTACAGGAGATCAGAGAAGAACGTTCTGTCTCTCTAGCTTGAGTCGGCCTCTGAGGAACATCTCAAAACATCTGAGCTCTCAAAACAAAAACATGTAAAACATTTTTTTTAAAGCCTTGGCACTGACCTGGTACTCTGCGTGGTTCTTCAGTCCGATCACGAGGAACGGTTCGAAGGCATCCATATACTTCTGAAAATCTGCTCCCAAAACTGAAAGAGACACAAGGGGAAGCTGAGTCCTCCTGTGACCGTGACTCTGGAGTCCAACAACTTCACCGTTTGTGTTTTAAGGCCACCACACACACGACAGGAGAACTCACACGCACGGACACTTTTTGCAGACTTTTAACAAGATGCAGCCAGATATTTTAATCGAGAGATTAGCTTCTATTTTTAGTCGACCTGATGAGCTTTTATTGCTACTTGTCCCGGTCAAACAGAAGTAAACATCAAGACCAAAAATTCCAGTGAATTCATCTGATATAAAAATGTATTGAACAGATACATATGTTCTCTAGTTTATCAAACTGTTGACCTTTTTTCTGGACCATTTTTGGTTCTAAAGTTCCATCTGTTTTAAACAGACCATGAATGAAACATGGAACAAAAATTATTTCCCAAATTTCAAAGACCTGAAATCATGTAAATAAATGTTTGTATTTCATCATATCTTGTGTTATTCCATCTTTGAACTGTTGATGAAGGGACAGGATAAAAAAAAAAAAAAGTATTTAAAATGATAAAAATGTTCTTGGAAGGACTGACATATTTTATAGAAATAGTTTCTTTCATTTTGAAGTAATATTAAAGTTTTCAGAAGAAAAAAGCCACAAATGATGTAAAATCCTGCACCTTCTACTTGTTTGTACAATTTTCCCTCCGTTACTTTTCCCTCCGTTACCATGAACTTTCTTCATAAAAAATCTCATGAGTCAAAAAGTCAGAGGTTTTTCAACCTAATCTTGTACCATATGGTAGAAAACTATATGAAGCAAATATTCAAACCAGTTTGTTAAGGATATGGAAGTGAGAACCAAGAGTTATCACTGTTTGGATTTATTGACCAAAAAGTGCTGCATATTTCATTCCCTCCGTTACCGACATGAGTTTTTGAAATTTTTTGTCTTGAACTTGAAAGAATCTCACAGGTTTAACTTGACCCTGTTGGAGTGTAACTCTTTCCTACATTCTGATACTTTACTTATTTCAATAGTTCCTCTAGTTTCTGAATAAGAGACATTTGAATGTCAAAAATCTGACCCTGTTTCCTCCGGTAACACTTGACTGGACCCTACTTTTAAACTTCTTAACCCACTACATACAGAGTCCTGGTGAACGGGGAAATGTCCAATCCCATCGTTTCAAACATCGTCTTCCCTCAGGGTTGTGTTTTGTCTCCGTTGCTTTATATTCTGTTTACAGACAAACGAGGGCAGCTACATCATGAAGTTCTCAGATGAAACTGTCCTCCTCTCCTGCAGGGAGCAAACTCAGACCACGACTGAAGCTCTACCTACTCTCACTGGACGGTGTGATAACAACCACCTGGACCTAAATGTAGCTAAAACCAAACAAACTGTCGTGGACTTCCGGATAAAATTTCACAGCCGGACGCCGTACCTTCGACCAGCGTGGACACAGCCATGAGCGCGTCCTCCTGCACGCCCCCAGAGCCCGCCGTGCTCTGGAACATTCTGAGCAGACTCTCCATGACGACGTCGGAGATGTGGAGGGCGTCCTGGTGCTGCACCTTCCGCAGAACGTTCTAGAAAAACACAAACGAAACCCACGACCACGACGAGTTAGAACCACGACGAGATTTTCTGTAGGTTATGTAAACCTATGTGAGGAGAGTTGGTGCTGACCTGGAGCGTGGCGCAGAGGAGGGACTGCAGGTCGTTGTACTGCATCCGGTCGGACGTGCTCTGGATGTGAGACTGAAACACACCGAGGGCAAAGGTCAAAAACAAAACAAAAAGACAGAACTTTGAACAAATTAAATCAATGAAACAAGATCTCGTCTGTACAAATGGAACTCAGGTTCAGTTTCTTAAAGATGCACTGTGTAACTTTTCCGGTGGAGAGCGTCGTTCATCTGCTCGTCTCCATGGTGATGTTACGGCGCGGTCTGGGATGTTCCAAAGTACGGCATTAAATGAAAATCTGTTGTATTTATTCAATTACACGCATCAAGAACCTTGGACTTCCGGTCATCACACAGTTCACACTGGGAAGGATTTTCCAAAAAAGTGAGCATCAAACCTCCATGTTTGTTTTCCCAGTGGGACGTGTCTATTGTCAAAGTCGGATCTTTTCAAGTCTTTTGAACCATTTCACTTTTGTTTCTGCTTCTGATATTGTCATATTTTAGTTTTGGGATTCGGACGACGTCATTGTGTGATTGAAAACGACTCGAGAAACATGTTTGTGAACTTCATAAATGTAAAAGTGAATCAGATGTGTGTGACTCAAACCTCTGTTCAAACTGTTTCTCTTCCCAACGGAATAGAAAAATAGTGAAAGGTGAAGGTGATGGGCAGGATTGATCCACAGGAAGAACCAAAAAGGAAACATTTGTCCGACTAAGAAATCATCCTGAGTTTACAGAGAACATTTTGTATGTGGAGCGACGACAAAACAAAATCCGGTTTGTTAATGTTAGAGGAGCAGAAGACAAACAGACTGAGCTGCACTTTCTTGTTCTTGTGGTTTTACAGAAACATCACGTCTTGGTCTTTGCAGTGGAAAGTGTTTCTTGGTGAACAGTTGGAGACTTTCACTTTGGTGTTGACTTTTTAAATTCGTAACCGAGGTTAAGCGAAGGATCGGGATTGTTGTTTTGTTGTCGCTCCACATACAAAATGTTCTCTGTAAACTCGGGATGATTTCTTAGTCAGACAAATGTTTCCTTTTTGGTTCTTCTGTGGATCAATCCTGCCCATCACCTTCACCTTTCACTATTTTTCAATTCCTTTGGGAAGAGAAACAGTTTGAACAGAGGTTTGAGTCACACACATCTGATTCACTTTTGCATTTATAAAGTTCACAAACATGTTTCTCGAGTCGTTTTCAATCACACAATGACGTCGTCCGAATCCCAAAACTAAAATATGACAATATCAGAAGCAGAAACAAAAGTGAAATGGTTCAAAAGACTTGAAAAGATCGACTTTGACAATAGACACGTCCCACTGGGAAAACAAACATGGAGGTTTGATGCTCACTTTTTCAGAAAATCCTTCCCAGTGTGAACTGCACGATGACCGGAAGTCGGAGATTCTTGATGCTTGTATTACACGAGTTGTTCTTTCTCAAAACTACTGAAAAAAATCACATGGATTATTTCTGCGAGTGAGCCCACGTCTCCACAGATCTGACCCGTCACTTGCCCCGGTGATGTGGTGTGATATTGTAGAAATAGTGACACATCTACAGAGTGAAGCAGGTGTTGGACCCTGTGCTCAGACTAAAGCTGCGTTCAGACGGCGTCAAAAAACCCTGGACGTCTGTGGTTGGAGCGTCTTTGTGTTTGAGTTCAGACGCCCTCGACGAGCATCACGGACGCCGCGGACCAAAAACACGTGAGGCGTGTCCAGGGCGTCGCCGCGGTCGGTGAGTCGTGTTTTCCCGTCGAGAGACTTTAGTGTTTCTGTTACATAAACTCATCAGCGGCGGCGCGTTTATATTCATACTTCACTAAAGCCGCGGCGTCGAGTTTCTTCTTCTGGTGTTCGTGGTTCCGGGTTTTTCTCTTTCTCCTCCTTCTGGATGATCACGTCTCTACATCACGGGATACTCGTCCCTGATTGGTTGACGTGGTGTGTTCGACGACAAAAGTTCAGCTTTTTCAGCTTCTGATGCCGACGCTCAAAATGTGCCACATCAACAGCAGATTCTCGCCACAAAACCACAGGACGTCTCAGACGAGCGTCCACGTGGAGCCGACGCCGCGACGCTCCAGTCTGAACGCAGCTTCACTCAGTGCAACTTTAAATAACTAGAAGAACACGGTCTGAGGTGTGAGGTGTGAGGTGTGAGGTCTGTGGTCTGAGGTCTGTGGACTGACCTCCATCTGCAGGACGTGTCTGAGCCGCTCCATGATCACCAGTGTGATTTTCTGCACCGCCGGGTAACAATCTTTAGCGCTGTTCTTCACGATCTCCATCAGGGCCTCGTACGCCGCCGAGCGAAGGTTATTCTGATGCCCGTCCGGTCTGGAGCAAGAAACAAAACACAAAATAAAACACACGAAATAAAACCACAAGTAACCATCCTCAGAGTCAAACCAGGACAGTTTGGTTTAACTCTTTCCCCCATGAAGACGACATTTGACGACCCCCTTGTTTCCTTAATGACGACTTCTGACTCCTCCGCTGTTTCACTAAAGACGTGATGACGACCTTTAGAAACGACTCGGTTTTTCACATATAAACAGAGACTGTGATTGGTCGGGGCCACTACAATCCACACTAGACGGACCAATAGGATTCAAGGAGATGTTTTCATCGATTTTTTCCGAAGTTAATCGAAGTAGTGACGATTGTAGCTTCCAGAAAAAACACATCATGAAACACGTGCAGTGGAAAGATGGCGGCGCTGCGGAGCACAGTTTTAGAAATAATGAGGAGCGGGTGTATTTTATGGATAAGTTTAGAGAAAGTGACTTTTATAGATTTCAAAGTGATGATGAAGTTGATTATAAAGTGGAAAACAGCGACAGCGACAGACTTACAGAGAGTGAAACTTATGAAAGTGAGAATGCAGCTGATGCGTCTGTGTGGAGTCCTGCGATGTCCCAACAAACTATCAGGGCTTTATACTCGATTATGAACCAAAAAACCTGAAATCTGGATGTTGCTCAGGCGAGTCCTTTAAAATATTTCAGTCTTTTTTTCCAAGATGCAACGTATAACAGAATCACTACAGAAACAAACGTTTATGTGAAGCTCTGCACATGAGAAAGTAACAAAGATGATAAATACTGAACACCCACTGACGGGGAGAGTTTTATTATTATATTATTATATTATTATATTATAATAAGCTAAATTAGTTGAATAAATTAAATAAGTTGAATAAGTTAAATGGAAAAAAATGAATCAGGTGCACACAGGTGAACAACAGGTAAAAACAGGTGCACACTTGGCTTTACTGTATCTGCTGATATGAAATCTGTTTAAATTACTTTGACAAAGTATATTTTTTATTTTTTTATTAATATAGTTCTCAGAACCTGCAGATATCAGATGCTGAATGTAGTTTTTTTGTTTTTGATTTTGCACCTGACCAGGTAAACTCTCATTTTCAGTGAGCTGTTATAAAATTGTAAATGAGTTGAATCACATTTAAACATCCAGAAATGAAGAGTTCAGAGTCTGAAGTTTCCAGAGATACAAATACGTCTGTGTTACAATGAAGTTCATGAGTGTAAAAATCATTTATAATCACTCATGGAAGTTTGTTTTCTTTTATGCAGTGATGCTGTGTGGGCAGAACTAGTAACACATGTGTGGGTTGTTCCTAGTCGGCGTCCGGGGGGGAAAGAGTTAAAGATCTAATCCTGATTTCAACGGTTCTGTTTGTGTTTGACTTGATGTTTGTGACAGAAACTCTGAAGCGACAAACGAACACGAGAGTCACATTCAGAAGATGTTTGTGCAGAATCAGACCCCACAGAGACACGGGGAGGGCATCTGACTCACACGGACATTTCAGAACGTGTTTGTACAGATCCAGACTACGGGCCGAGATGTTCAGACGTCCCGCAGAGGTTCTCACCGGTCTGTGGTCTCCAGAAGTTTCTCCACGATGAGCTCAAAGGTGGAGGACAGACAGTAGGTGGCCGGCTCCTCCTGCTCCTCCGCTGCTTCTGTCGCCTCGTACGCAGCTTCAGCCAGAGACGAGAACGCCTGGAACAAACAGGAACGAACAGGAACGTCAAAGGAACGTCAAAGAACAAGAACCAAACCGCAAAAAGAACCACAGCCAGAAGAGAAAAGAACCTCACAGAACATCAGTAGAGATCAGCTGATGTGGATTTTTTGAGCTGATAAATATTTTCTCTTTTTATCCCATGGTGAGGTCCACAGGTTTATCGTAAGTTAAAGTCACAGATTCACTTTTGTAAAAATAAATCCTTCATTTCACAATGTGTAAAATCAGTTACACATTTGTGCCACAAACACACGACGAGCTTCTGTTTTCATTTGACTCATGAATTCAAAACCACAGAACAGACTGAGCCAGAGCAAAAAAAGAGAAATGGGCATCGAATCCCAGTATTGAGTATCGAGAATCGATATCACCCCCAGACCACAACATCACAAAGACCAGGAACAGACAGGGAAAGAGACGTGTGTGTGTGTGTAAGTGTGTTGCTCGTGGGCACACACCCAGCAGACGTTGGAGGTGTGTGTGTGTTGTGTGTGTGTGTGTTTGTTGTGTGTGTGTGTGTGTTTATGTGTGTGTGTGTTTATGTTTATGTGTGTGTGTGTTTATGTTTATGTGTGTGTGTGTTTATGTTTATGTGTGTGTGTGTTTATGTGTGTGTGTTTATGTTTATGTGTGTGTGTGTGTTGCTCGTGGGCACACACCCAGCAGATGTTGGAGGTGTGTGTGTGTGTGTGTGTGTGTAAGTGCGTTGCTCGTGGGCACACACCCAGCAGACGTTGGAGGTGTGTGTGTGTGTGTGTGTGTGTGTGTGTGTGTGTGTGTGTGTGCGTGTGTGCGTGTGTGCGTGTGTAAGTGCGTTGCTCGTGGGCACACACCCAGCAGACGTTGGAGGCGACCCGCGGCTCGGCGCTCAGTCCGTCGATCAGACACTGCAGCAGAGGAGCCAGGTACATGTCGTTTATCGCCGCCTCGGGCATCAGCTCACAGATCCTCCCCACGGTCCAGGCCGTCGTGTCCCGCACCACCACCGACGGGTCCTTCATCAGCTCGATCATCGTCGGCATCCCCTGACCGACAGGAAGGAGGAGGAAGAAGAAGAAGGAAGAAGAAGAAGGAGAAGAAGAAGAAGAGAGAGTGAGAGGGGGGAGTCCTTCATTCTCCCCACACTGGGGCGACACGTCCAGAGGAGGGCGCTGTGTGAAACTCACACCTGTACCAAGGGTTAAAGGTCAAACTGTCCTGTGGGGTCAGATGGGGTCACACAGCGGCATCCGGGTGGGGTCAGGTGAGGTGGTTTGAGGTGGTAGGGTATAGTTGGGGTCAGTAGGGGTCAGAGTGGGGTCAGAGTGGGGTCAATAGGGGTCAGTGTGGGGTCATTAGGGGTCAGTAGGGGTCAGTGTGGGGTCAGCAGGGGTCAGACTGACCTGTATAATGATGGGTTTGAGGTGGTTGAGCTCAGGTCCTTCCAGGATGGAGCCAAAGGCCATGACGGAGGCGTCGCGGTACCTCCAGTCGGGGTGTTTGATGTTCTCTTTGATGAAGGGCAGAACGTGAGGAACCACGTCGTCCTCGCAGCAGGTGGCGAGCAGCATGAGGCACACGCCCGCCGCCTTACACGGGTTCCAGTCGTCATCATCGTCGTTCTCGTCCTGAAGGAAAACGCGCGGTTAAGACCTGAGGGGGTCACGGAGCGTCGGCTGCTCACACGGTCAAAGTCAAAGTCGTTTGTGCAAATGAAAAGTAAAAACAAAAACAAAAAAACTGCCCAAATACTGGACAGAGTCTGAGGAGCAGAAACACCAGAACGTTTTTGTCTAAAATGTTTTTAGGTTGTTTTTTTTAAATCATGTGATTCGGGTTCCACAAACACTTGTCGTGTTTTTGGGTGTGTGGGTCAGTGAGCTGGTACTCGTTTGGTCAGGGTCTGTGTCAGTGCAGTGGGAGCGGACACACACGGGAGCGCGCGGGGCGCACACACGGGCGCACGGACACACGCGAGCGCTGTTACCTGTTTGGTGAGGGTCTGGGTGAGGATGGGCACCAGGTATTGTAGGGCTCCTTTGGCGTAGAACTTGCTGGTGTGCTCCGGGGGGCGTCCCTGCTCCGAGGCCTGACACACACACACACACACACACACAGACACACACAGACACACACAGACACACACAGACACACACAGACACACACAGACACACACAGACACACACAGACACACACACACACAGGAGGAGAAACACACACGTTAAAACTGAACTGAAGAGTGAGTGCAAGAACATCTGTCACTAACCATCAGGGATTATGTAACCCTGCCCCCTGCCCCCCCCAACCCCCTGCCAACCCCCCCTCCCTCCAGCCGCACTCAGAGCCCAGAGTCGGGGGGGGGGGGGGGGGGGGGGTTGTGGGAGGCCGTGTGTGTAACTACCGAAGTGTTTGAACCAAATCTTCAGCCTGAACCTGAGAGGCCTCGACAGGTGCAGGTGTGGCAGGTGTGACAGGTGCGACAGGTGCGGCAGGTGTTACCTCAGATGCCTCGATGGCCAGGTCCATCTCCTCGTCACAAACGTTGGACCAGAACTCGATCCCCTGTAGAGCCACTTCATCAATGTCGCTCTTCATCGCCTCAATCGTGATCTGCACCAGGACGGACGGATTAGAACAAGAAGAGAACGAAGAGAAGAAGAGGAGAGGAGAAGAAAAGGGGGAGGAGGAAGAGGAGGAAGAGGAGGAGAGGAGAGGAGGAGAGATCTGCACCAGGACAGATGGATTAGAACAAGAAGAGAACGAAGAGAAGAGGAGGAGAGGAGGAGAAAAGGAGGAGGAGGAAGAGGAGGAGAGGAGGAGAGAGGGAGGAAGAGGAGGAAGAGGAGGAAGAGCAGAGTGTGTAGACAGAGTTGGACTCACGGCGAAGAGCGCGGGGCCCATGTAAGTCTCCATGTACTGATAATACAGAGACATGATCTTCACCAGGTTCTGAAGAGCCGCCACACGCACCTGCCGGGGTCAGAGGTCAAAGGTCACAACACACAAACGCCAACAATGACAACTTGACATTATTTTATCATAATAATAATAATAATAATAATAATAATAATAACAATAACAATAACAATCATAATCCTGGTGTGTCAGACTCACCCTGGTGTCTGGACACTGAGTGGCCTCACACACGACCTGCATGATGAAGTGACGCTCCGACTGAAACACACACACAACTGTTACACACAACTGTTACACACAACTGTTACACACAGCTGTTACACACAACTGTTACACACAGCTGTTACACACACAACTGTTACACACAACTGTTACACACAACTGTTACACACACAACGAGAAACACACAACTGTTACACACAAACACACAACTGTTACACACAACTGTTACACACAACTGTTACACACAACTGTTACACACAACTGTTACACACAACTGTTACACACAACTGTTACACACAACACATGTTACACACACACACACTGTTACACACACAACTGTTACACACAACTGTTACACACAACGAGATACACACAACTGTTACACACAACTGTTACACACAACTGTTACACACAACTGTTACACACAACTGTTACACACAACGAGATACACACAACTGTTACACACAACGAGATACACACAACTGTTACAACGAGATACACACAACGAGATACACACAACGAGATACACACAACTGTTACACACAACGAGATACACACAACTGTTACACACAACGAGATACACGGGCATGTGCACACACTCGGGGCGCACGCACACACACTCGGGGCGCGCGCACACACACACACACTCGGGGCGCGCGCACACACACACGCACACACACTCGGGGCGCGCACACACACACACACACACTCGGGGCGCGCGCACACACACACACACACTCGGGGCGCGCACACACACACACACACACACACTCGGGGCGCGCGCACACACACACTCGGGGCGCGCACACACACACACACACACACACACACTCGGGCGCGCACACACACACACACACACACTCGGGGCGCGCGCACACACACACACACGGGGCGCGCGCACACACACACTCGGGGCGCGCACACACACACACACACTCGGGGCGCGCACACACACACTCGGGGCGCGCACACACACACACACACACTCGGGGCGCGCACACACACACACACACACACTCGGGGCGCGCACACACACACACACACGGGGTGCGCACACACACACTCGGGCGCGCACACACACACTCACGGGCGCGCGCACACACACACTCGGGGGCGCGCACACACACACACACTCGGGGCGCGCACACACACACTCGGGGCGCGCACACCACACACACACACACACACACTCGGGGCGTGCGCACACACACACTCGGGGCGCGCACACACACACAAACACACACACTCGGGGCGCGCACACACACACACACACACACACACACACACACAGCAGCACAGAACTGGTCAGAGTCGTGTTTCTTGGTTGAGGAGAGTTGAGGAGGGAGTTGGTGTAGTACGAGTGTGTAGTTGTAGTAGTAGTAGTATATAGTAGTAATAGTAGCAGTAGTACACAGTAGTATTTGTAGTACTAGTACCTCTCGGTCGAAGTTGGCCTTGGTGAACTCCAGAGAGTTGAGGAGGGCGTTGGTGGCGGCGAGCTTCACGTTGTTGCTTGGTTCTTCTTTCCTCATGCCCTGGATAATCGCCGTCAGGATCTGATTGGCCTTTTCCTGCAGGTGCTCGGGGTCCTACACACACACACACACACACACACACACACACACACAACACACACACACACACACACACACACACACACACACACACACACACGCACACACACACACACACACACACGCACACACACACACACACACACAACGCACAAGAACAAACAAAAGAGCAGTTACTACATGACTAGAGTATCAGGAGTAGTACAGGACAGGAGTACATGACTGCAGTAGTAGTAGTAGTAGTAGTAGTAGTAGTAGTGGTGCATTAGTATAAACACTTTTCTAGACTCGGCTGGTGTAGCCACAGCTGCCCTGGGACAGACTGACAGGACAGAGGCGGCTCATACAGACGACGAACACGACCTGCGGCCTCCAGAGTGACCTCAAGTACAGCCGCAGTAGTAACAGTAGTAGTATTCGCAGTAGTAGTATTCACAGTAGTAGTACTCACGATGTCCTGGCAGATGTAGCCGATGGCCTCCAGCGTGCTCTCCCTCATGTGCTCCGTGCTCTGGCTCTGGGGGTTGGTCATGTTCTTGACCAGTTCCTGGATCAGGTCGGGCCACTGGTTCACGGGGATTTCTGCGCAGGCGATTCCCGCCACACACTGAGACGCCGAGCTCGGGCGGTAGTTCTCCGTGCCCAGGGTCTGCAGCACCTGACGGGGGCACGACACACACGTCAAATACACACAATACACACACACACACAAAGGGAAAGAGAAGGAAACTAACTTAAGAGGCTTTTTAAATTTTAAAGTGCGTCGTGCTTGAACGACAAAAAACCGAGTCTATATATGTGGGTACATTTATATACATGTATGTATATGTGTGTATTATACCTGTGTATATGATATATACATACATATATTTGTAGTTGTTACATTTGGACTGACATGCAGGTCCTGTGAGTTTATGTCTTGTACAGGAAATGAGAAGTGTGTTTGTTCTTAGTTAATTTGGGCCAGTAGAAAAAAGAGGTGGGGTTAAATAAGAATCCACTTCCTCCACTTCCTTTTTCAGACACAAGGAAAATGTGAGTGACATTTATTTTCACTTATTATTACACAAAAAGATTTACTTTATGTTTTCCATCTATGTACTTATGTTCTCTGTGCGTGTTCCATGTGTTACTGTCTGAATAAACATTCAAACACACACAGGCACACACACACAAACACACACACACACACACACACACAAACACACACACACACACACACACATGAAATATACACACGAAATATACACACACAAAAAAACAAAAACACCACAATCTTACACAAAAACACACACAGGCAGAGTCACACACTGACATGTAAGTACAAAAAAAAGACAAAAAAACACACACACACACACAATCATACACAAAAACACACAAAAATATCCCAAAAACGCACAGTCACACACACAAAAATACAAAAGGCATCTACAATCGCACAGAAACACACCACAAATACACAAAAAATACACACACAGAAACACAAAAAACACACAAACGAACACAATCACACACACACCAAACATACAAACACACACAAACTCGTTCCAGGGGGATTATTTACTGCACCAGCTCAGATTTAGATTTCCATGCTCCATTTATTGGTTTGTTTTAGAAGTTTCTCTCCTCTCTTTGCTCTCTGTGCTAACTCCCTCCCCCTTCAGAGCACCATCACACACACTCTCGTTGTGCGTCGCACCAATGACCCTCCTGCACAAACACCAGGTTTGTCCAGTCGCCGTGTTCAGTTTTGTGTCGTGTTTTTTTGTGTTTTTATGGAGAGTTGTGGTGCGGGCGCGGGTGGGCGGAGCCTCGTACAGACTGACTGTGAGGAGGGTTTGAATATGGCCCCGGGAGAGATCTCTAGATGACTCAAACATGCGTGGAGGACTCTGAAACCTCTTTGGCAGGTTTGTGATGAGGAACATTAGAACATGGAGGAGGAGAACAAAAATCTAAATGTGTTTGCGGTTAAATCCCCAAAGACTCCGCCCCCCTTGACCCCGTGAGCGGTGGGCGGTGCTTCGTGCTGTGTGGTGCGTGGAGGTTGGAGGTTCTTACGTATTTCTTGATCTCCTTCCTGGCGTTGGCGTCGATGGCGAGCCAGCGCTGCTGATACTGCGCCTTCAGCTCCGGGTCTTTGGACGTGACCGAGTTTTTGATCTGGAGCCCGGCGGCGACTCGAGCCACCTGAGTGTTCCCGGGGTTCGCCAGGACCTTGGACAGCTCCACCAGGAACAGCGGCTGACGAGGACGAGGACGAGGAAGAGGAGGAGAGGGTTAGAGGAGGACGAGGAAGAGGAGGACGAGGAAGAAGAGGAGGTTAGAGGAGGACGAGGAAGAGGAGGAGAGGGTTAGAGGAGGACGAGGACGAGGAAGAGAAGGAGGAGGAGGAGGAGAAGGTTAGGAGGACGAGGAAGAGGAAGAGGAGGAGAGGGTTAGAGGAGGACGAGGACAAGGAAGAGGAGGAGAGGGTTAGAGAGGAGGAAGAGGAGGAGAGGGTTAGAGGAGGACGAGGACGAGGAGGAGAAGGTTAGACGAGGACGAGGAAGAGGAGGAGAAGGTTAGACGAGGAAGAGGAGGAGAGGGTTAGAGGAGGACGAGGAAGAGGAGGAGGAGGTTAGACGAGGACGAGGAGGAGGAAGAGAAGGAGAAGGTTAGGAGGACGAGGAAGAGGAGGTTAGAGGAGGATGAGAAGGTTAGACGAGGACAAGGACGAGGAGGAGAAGGTTAGACGAGGACAAGGACGAGGAGGAGGAGGAGAAGGTTAGACGAGGAGGACGAGGAGAGGAGGAGAAGGTTAGACGAGGACGAGGAAGAAGAGGAGGAGGAAGAGAAGGAGAAGGTTAGGAGGACGAGGAAGAGGAGAAGGTTAGACGAGGAAGAGGAGGAGAAGGTTAGACGAGGACGAGGAAGAGGAGGTTAGAGGAGGTTCAAGGAGGAGAGGTGAGAGGGTTAGAGGAGGAGAGGGAGAGATGGAAGAGAGGAAGAGGAGAGGAAGAGGAGAGGAAGAGGATTAGGCAGAACCATGGAGAGCTCCCCCTGGTGGGTCAGAGGAGCAGAGTTGGACTCACCAGGTTTTCCATGGCCGCCTGCTCCAGAAACTTCTGTGCCGCCTCCAGTTCATTTCGGTCTGAAAAAGAATTTGAAGTTAGTGTCACATTTTCCAAAGCGTCTTCTACTCTTCATCGGGGTTTGGAGACACAATCAAACCCCAAACACTGCTGCTGTTGTGTCCTTAGGCAAGACACTTTCCCTCCCTGTTGTGAGTGTTTGAGTCTCGTTTGTGTCAAATCACAGACGATAAAACTGGAGCTTTAAGACGAAACACAAAACCTCAGGAGCAGATTTAAGACGATTTAAGACACAAAAACTGTTCTAAAATTTACAATATTAAAAAAAAAAGCAAGCTCCACAATTTCTCAGATTTGTTGAGATATTTTAGGAACTTTTTAAACCTCAGAGCCAAAAAAAAAAAAAAAAATCACCACAAAGGAAAAGCCCCTGTGAAAAATATTGACCCAAACACAGAGCTCCAACCTCCTGCCCCGAACCTGAAGCTCCGTCGTCGAGCTCTGAACCTCAAGTGTCCTCACCGCCGAAGTCCTGCAGCTCCCGGGCGCGAGCATAGAGACGGGCGCGGAGACGGGCGCGGAGACGGGCGCGGAGACGGGCGCGGAAACATCTATTAAAAGTTCTCAGGGCAGACGGGCATCAAAATTGTACTTCTGACTAATTATCTTTCAAAATGTTTAGTTCTTCAGCGCAGGTTTAAGTCTGAGCGTCGCGGGCAGTTCACCTGAGGGGGCGGGGCTCACCTGAGGGGGCGGGGCTCACCTGAGGGGGCGGGACTACAGCTGGTTTAGAGGAAACACCCAGACACGGGGAGAACATGCAAACTCCACACAGCAAGAACTCTGGGAAGCTGCCGACACGACACAAACCTCGATACGTTTTTCGATACACTGCACCTCTGACTCTGTACGATTTCAAACCGTTTCAACGTGATTCAGTGAAAAACAAAAGGCTCTGATTCTAAAAGTCGACCAAGTTTGTGCAGTTAATATGAAAAACACAAATTTTATTCAAAACTGTGAAAATGTGAAAACAATTGCAGCTCTTAAACAAAATTATTTAGTAAAATAAACCTAAAAATCGTCTTGGTGATTTATCGATACATCAGCCTACGACATCGATTCTGTATCATCACGTTCAATGATACAATATGTCGATATTTCAATATTTCTGCACATCACGAACAAGATCGAAGCCCGTTTGGAAAAGACAAAGGTTCTATTCCCAGAAACGAAAGGTTAACCACTCTGCCACAGCACAGGAAACGCTCAAAAGTTAAAAAAGATCAAGTAAAACTGAATGTTTTCTTTTCCTCCGTGGCTCAAAGTGACTCTGACATAATCCCTCTGCTCCTGCTGCTCCTCAACACCACACCGAAAGTCTGGACCACACTCACACACACAGACACACACACACACTCACACACACAGACACACACTCACACACACAGACACACACTCACACACACAGACACACACTCACACACACAGACACACACACACACACACAGACACACACTCACACACACAGACACACACTCGGACGTGCGAAGAGATCGAAGGTTTAAAAAGCGTTTTATAAATCAGACTCTGGTCCCGTTTTGATCGAATCGAGGAGCGTTCACCTGAAACGAGACGATTTCCACAACACGAGAAAAAAAAACAAAAACACGTGACTGAACAAAACTCTGACTAAATAAACGACGTGATTCAGTTTCAAGTTCAGGCTCACAGTTTTTATTTTCTGTCACATCTTCGTTGACGTTCTAGAGCCGCTTTTTGGAAATATGAGATGTAACTCCTAAGACTTTCTGTCCAAACCAAAAGTAAAGAAAAAAAAAACAAACCTCCAGATCATTTTCCTCGGAGGTTTAAGAACATGTCCGAGTCTGAACCACAGGGAGGAGCAGGACCCCACAGAGACCCGGGGAGCTGAGACTCTGATGAGGTTTGCTCTTATTTCGGTTTGAGATGGTCGTTTCTGAACGTGTCTCGGCTGCAGACGTGACGACAGCAGCAGCAGCAGCCGCAGAGACTCTGACGGTTTATAAAAACACTTTCACCGTGTCAGACCAGTTTAACTACAATTTATACAAAGCAGGAAACAGGCTCAATGCCAAAGTTTACTCAGGTAAAGTACGCCCCAAGTATGCCAGAGTACGCCCCAAGAACGCTCAAGAACACCAGAGTACGCCCCAAGAACGCCAGAGTACGCCCCAAGAACGCTCAAGAACACCAGAGTACTCCCCAAGAACGCCAGAGTACGCCCCAAGAACGCTCAAGAACACCAGAGTACGCCCCAAGAACGCCAGAGTACGCCCCAAGAACGCTCAAGAACACCAGAGTACGCCCCAAGAACGCCAGAGTACGCCCAAGAACGCTCAAGAACACCAGAGTACGCCCCAAGAACGCCAGAGTACGCCCCCAAGAACGCTCAAGAACACCAGAGTACGCCCAAGACGCCAAGTACGCCCCAAGAACGCCAGAGTACGCCCCAAGAACGCTCAAGAACGCCAGAGTACGCCCCAAGAACGCTCAAGTACGCCCCAAGAACGCTCAAGAACACCAGAGTACGCCCCAAGAACGCTCAAGTACGCCCCAAGAACGCTCAAGAACACCTGAGTACGCCCCAAGAACGCTCAAGAACACCAGAGTACGCCCCAAGAATGCTCAAGAACACCAGAGTACGCCCCAAGAACGCTCAAGTACGCCCCAAGAATGCTCAAGAACACCTGAGTACGCCCCAAGAACGCTCAAGAACACCAGAGTACGCCCCAAGAACGCTCAAGAACGCCAGAGTACGCCCCAAGAATGCTCAAGAACGCTCAAGTACGCCCCAAGAACGCTCAAGTACGCCCCAAGAACGCCAAAGTACGCCCCAAGAACGCCAGAGTACGCCCCAAGAATGCTCAAGTAGGCCAGAATACACCAGAGTATGCCCAAGTATGCCCCAAGAACGCCCCAAGAACGCCAGAGTACCCCCAAGTACACCCCAAGTACGCTCAAGTACGCCCCAGGAAAGCCAGAGTACACAAGAGTACGCCAAAGTACTACAGCATTCGCCACAGGACTCCCCGGGCCCTTCCTGTGACCAGGTCGAGATCTCCACAGACACTGCTCCACGTTTGACGGGGCTGAAGTAAAAGTTTAAGTAAAAGTAGATACTAGAACAAAGAAATACTCAAGTACAAGTAAAAGTACCACATGAAAATCTTCTTGAGTATTAAAGTATCCATTTAAAACTGTACTTGGAGCTCAAAATCTGTGGGAAATACTATCATAATAATTTTTACGCTAAAAAAGCTTCAAACGCCGTGATTCTGATTCATGTTGAAGTTTATTTCAAACTTTTTTTTGTATTTTTGTTTTGTAAATGGTCACATTTTTCTGCAGAGCTTTTCCACCTTTTGAGACTCAAAGTGATTTACAACAACAAACACACACACACACACAGACACAGACACACACACACAGATACAGACTCCGGGGGTGAGGGGGGGTTAAGTGTCTTGCCCAAGGACACAACTTTCATCTGTGGGATCTGGAATCGCACAAACGTCCAAACGCTCTGAGCCACTGTCGCCCGTTTGTGTTTTGCTCAAACAAACGCGGGAAAAATAAAACCTCAGACTTCTCAGACCAACAGGAAAATACTTTTACTTTTCCAAAAAGTACTGCAGTAAAAGTACAAGTACCTGCTCTCTGAAGTACTACAGTAAAAGTAAAAATATACACTTTAAAATCTACTGTACGTACAGATTCCTAGAGTCTACAGTCAAGTACAGTACTTTACTTTTACTTCATTTCGTCCCCTCTGATGTTGGACTGAGTATTTATTACTATTGTGCTGCTTTTTCTTCGCTCTCGAGTTAAATCCTGTTCTCGTCCTCGTTCTGTTCTGTTCTGTGGACAGATTTGAGCTGAAGGTGTAAAAGTGCATCATGACTCATCATAAAAACAAACTCAAATCTTTGTTTCATTAGTTGTCGTCGTTGTGTTTTGAGAAAAAGGACCCGGAATCTTCTGTTCTGACGGAGTCTCCTCACCGCAAACCTGGAGCCGCTTCGTTTCAGTCACACGAAAACACAAACGTCTCAGTCAAACTCCACAAACCTTCACCAGAAACACCAGAAACACCAGGAGCATCTCAGTCCTGGAGCTGCTCCTCTCGACTCAACTAAAGGAGCTTGATGACATCACGAGGTGGAGCAGAGCGTTTGGAGCTTTGCAGATGTAACAGACTCAAACACGTGAATGAAACAAACACGAGTCCGGCTCTGAGGAACATTAGAACCCGGATTAAAGTTCACAGGGTCAGTTTTGTGTAACTTAAACCTTTAAAGAGAAGATTTCCTGGTGTAATCCGTCGGTTTTATTGTCGTTCATTTGTTTTTCTTTCTTCGTGTTTCAGGTAAACCTGGTCCTGGGGTCAGAGGTCACGTGAGGTCAGACCTGTTCACCTCTGACGTCACGGGTCACGGTTTAAGTCGTTTTATTTTCATTTTATTTTGTCGTAATTTGACCAAAGTCTCGTTTCGTTTCCCTCCCGCCGCCGCCTCCGCCAAACAAGTTTGTGCAGTAACCGAGACCCACCCCTGGCTCCGGGCCCGCGGCTCCTGCGGCTCCGGTGCTCCCCGTGGCCCCTCCGCCCGCAGCCCCGACCCAAACCGCGGCTCCGGCTCCGGTTCTGACGCCGTCACCGAGCGCGCAGCCGGTCCCCGCGGCACCGGCCCGGACCCCGCGCCTCCCTCCCCCCCCGGGCCGGTGCAGGAACAGCCCCGGTACAAGCACAGCCCCCCCGCGGCGTGTCCCCGGGTCAGAGCAGCGGGTCAGAGCGCGGAGGGGAGCCGCATTTGGGTCACGAGAGCCGCGAAACGAGGCGTGGAGCGGCGCAGGTCCGTTAGCCCGGTGCCGTTAGCCCGGTGCCGTTAGCCGCACCGGAAAACAAGAAAATACCGCCTCAAACACAAAACAACGGACAGATTTAACCCGCTCACGGGGCTCTTCCCCCGGGGCAGCTGCGGGGCGCGGTGCCCGGGCTGCGGAGCCTCGGAGCGGCCTGAGAGGAGCGGGAGCCGGGACAAGCGTGACGCCGCTAACTTTAGCTGCGGGGCTAAAGCTAACAGGCGTGGGCAGGTCCGAGCAGGTGCCCGGGCTCCGCGCTCCTCTGCCCGGGCTCAGAGGCGCACAGCCCGGGGCGATCACACCACAGCCCCGGTACACGCAGCTCCACACCGGGACCTGACACCGGGACCGGGCTCAGAGCGAAGCCCGGGAGGGTGTGAGATCTGCGGCATTCTGCGCCAGCTGAGGCCGCTGGAGCTTTAGCCTCGTTAGCTCCGGAGGCTAGTGACACTTCCCTCCTTCAAACTTCAAACCGCTAATGCGCCAAGACGAGCCGCGGCTCCGGCTCCAGCCCGAGCCGCAGCCCGGAGTGTCCCGTCACACACGCCGGGACAGAGGCCACATCTGCGGCCTCCCGCACAAACAGAGGTCGCTGTAGCTTTAGCACCGTTAGCATCCGCGGCTAATGTCACACTTCCTTCCCTCCTGGAGCCGCGGCGCCGGGACCGGCCCGGGCCCGGCTCCGAGCCTCTGACAGCGGGCGGGCCTCGGCCCCGGCCCCGCTCCGGGCGCACTCACCGGGGGAGACCGTCTTCTCCAGGATCGTGATGAGCTCCATCGCGGCCGCTGCGGTGGTTCTCTCGGGAGGGAGGAGCTGCTGCCGGGTGTCGGTCCTCGAGGCGGGTCGGGGCGGTTCAGACGGGCAGTTCGGGTCCGGAGCGTGGGGCCTGCGTGCGGCTTGTGTCGGGCCGGTGTCGGGGGTGTCGGGGCGGGTGTGGCGGGTGTCTCGGGTGTCTCGGGGCTCTGGTCTCGGCTCTCGGGGCTCCGCAGCCCGGTACGCGCTTCACGGTGACGCTCCGGTGACGCTCCGGTGCAAAAGGCCGCGCGCTCCTCTCC